GGGGCAGGGCCGGCTGTCGCATAGCTTGGGGTGCAGAGTGGGAATGGGGAGCTGGGTTTCCCCCACCGGCACTCTTCTCCTCATGCAGCTGTCCTGCCCCTGCCGGTCCCTGAGGGGAGGACAGGGGTTGCACTCTGTGTGCAGATGAGGAAACTGAGGGTCCCATAGGAGACACTGTCACCCAGCTAAGAAATGGCAAAGTGAAGCTTTTCAAGTCCCTGGGAAACCACTGGCCCCTCACTGTGGCCAGGCTGGTGGGTGGGGAGGCTGGGGGGCTCCCCAAGGGGCTGCAGGCGTGACTCAGTCCACACTCTGCCAGGATGTCTTCTCAGAGGTCTTGGGCCGGAAGCGGCCGAAGTCAGGACCGGACAGGGGAGCCAAGAGGCAGAGGGAAGCGGCCTGGCAGCGGGACCAGGAATTCTACATCCCCTACCGGCCCAAGGACTTCGACAGTGAGCGGGGGTGAGTGGCTGGCTGGGTCCTGGGTGGGGCAGGCAGGTCCGCTGGGTCCTATCACCCTGATCCATCGATCCTGTCTCCCACTCTGCCTCTGCAGCCTGAGCGTCGGCGGGGAAGGGGGAGCCTTCGAGCAGCAGGCAGCTGGTGCTGTCCTGGATCTGATGGGGGATGAAGCCCAGAATCTCACAAGGGGCCGCCAACAGCTCAAGTGGTGAGTGATGGAGTGAGCACCCCTCCATGCCCAGGGTGAGTGAGCGGGTGAGCTGCCCCTCCATGCCCCAGGTGAGTGATTGAGTGAGCCTCCCCTCCGTCTTTGCCCAGGGTGAGTGAGCGAGTGAGCTGCTTCCCCTCCCTCCGTGCCCCTCCCGCCGTGCCCGTGCCCGGGGTGAGTGAGGAGTGAGCCCCACCTCCATGCCGCCAGGCAGGGTGAGCTCCCTGATGTCCTCACTCCCATCTAATCTTGCACAGCTGGGATTATGACCTGGCTGTCCCCCTTGTGACCACTCACAGCAGGTGTGATGGTCTCTGGCTGTCCTGTCCCCTTGATTTGATTGCACACCACAGAGATCTTGAATATCCCGTCTGTCCTTTTTGCTGGCAAGTCTTTCTAGACAGGGCTCAGGACCCATTTGTTCAGGAGGACTCTAGTGTCTAGAGAATGGACGCGTCTCAACCCAGGGTCACAGCTGGGAAGGGGCAGGTGATTAAATCCTCCAGGGGGCTCTTGTCCCTGAGCCAGGCCCAAGTGCTGGTACCAATCCTCTGACCGCCACACTCCCTTTTGAGACCTGGACTGCCAGGGCGAGGTGAGGAGGGATAGGGAAGGAGCCTTTATTGAGCATCAACTGCATGCCAGACATGGCTGCATTGCTTTCCTTTAATGCTGCAACAACCCGATGAGAAGGTCGGGGAGCATGCGCTGGCACTCCAGGTGTCTCCCTCCACGGCAGCCCTCCCAACTCCCTCTCCTGCAGGGACCGTAAGAAGAAGCGATTTGTGGGACAATCAGGACAGGAAGACAAGAAGAAGATTAAGACAGAGAGCGGCCGCTACATCAGCAGCTCCTACAAGAGAGACCTGTATCCTGAGGGGCGTGGCCATGGATGGGGCGGGGCCGAGCCGCTTCAGCAGCAGCTGCTCCAGTTAAGTGGGACCTGGGGGCGGGGTCGGTGAAGAGGAGGGTAAGGGGCTGAGCAGCTTCAGCAGCAGCATCTCCAATAAATGGGACCTGTGTGCTGGGGGCGGGGCCGAGCAGCTTCAGCAGCAGCATCTCCAATAAGTGGGACCTGTGTGCTGGGGGCGGGGCCGAGTAGCTTCAGCGGCCGCTGGGATAACGGACCTGTGTCTGCTGAGGCAGTGTGGGGTGGAGCCTGCTCCCATCCCAGGGGCTTCACGCAGCTTCCTTAACGAGGCTTTCCAGCTATCAGAAGTGGAAGCAGAAACAGAAAATTGATGATCGTGACTCGGACGAGGAAGGGACATCTGACCGGGGAGGCCCAGAGCGAAGAGGTGGGAAACGAGGCCGTGGCCAAGGTGAGAGAGCCAACGTGGGGAGTGTGGGTGCACAGGTAGGCAGGGCAGGTGTGGTCGGATTAGGGTAATGCTGAGGCACAGGTGCAGGGGTTACTGCAGAGCACCAGAGCTGGGTATGTTGGGGTATGCTGCCAAAATCCTGGGTTCCCTCCATGATCCTCCACGCCACCCCCACAGATTCCCCCATTCTGCTGTCCCGGCCTCTGATGGTCACAAGCGCCACCTCGCAGGTGCTGGAAAGCACCATGTCCCTCAGGCACATTGTCCCCAACCCCTTCCACCTCGCAGATGAAGCCATGGGGGTAATTTCTGTTAGATGCCCTGTTCACCTAATTCGCCCCATTGTCTAGAAACCTGGAGGACTCAGGAGGTGGAACCTGTGCGAATGCTGCTATGTGGGCCTTTTTCACCTGCAAAAATAGCATTTGCATGTGGTTCGACCTGACAAAGTGAGCATGAATTGATTCCCTGTGGCATCCTCGGGAGTGACGTTCTTTTTAGCAGTGTTGTGGAGAAGTTCATGTCACCAAAGATGCAGTCAGAGGCAGCTTTGTTTCCGGGAGGGGGCGATGACAGAGGATGTTGAGGAAGGTGCTTTTTTGAAATGTGGGTTGGCAAGTGGTACGTTTGGTCATCTGAGGACTTGGACCTCTTTGATCTGGCCTGGGTCCCTCAGCCAGTAACAGGCTAAGGTGGATTTGAAGCCAGCTCTGTCTGCCAGAGCCTTTGCTTAAGGGCTGCTGTCAGGGAGGGGCTCCCACTTGCTGGGTGTGGACAGGCCACACATGACCTGGGAGGAAAGGTCACTGCAAATACCCACTTTACAGGCCAGGAAACAGGTGCTTTATGGGGGCTGTGACTGAACCCAGGTCACCCAGCTGCCCAAGGCTCCCACCTGCAGCCTTCCCTGGGGAGAGGGGAGTTTGGGACCATGTCCTGGGTCTCTCAGATTGCCTTAGCTCCTGCTTGTGTCGCTCCACTCCCTGGGGCTGGTCACTGCCTCCTCTGGGTGTCTCTGAACCTGTATGCATTCGCCTGGGCCTCTTCTCTGTGGCTCCTCCCCCTCCAGCTCTCCCATCTGTGGGAATGTCTCCTTGTCAGCGTGGCTGGGTGGGGCTCACCCACACCTCACTTCTCAGCCTGTTTTTACCTGGGTGAAACAGCAGCTTCTGCTGCAAGCAGTGCCACGCAGTAGGCGGGCAGGGCCTGGGGAGGCAGGGGGCGACCTGTGGGCTTTGGGAGAAAGCAGCTGTTCTTCCCTGTGCTGTGTCCTCATTGGAGGTGATAGGTCCTGTGAAGCACCCTGGCTCCAATGGAGACAGCTGGGACCACCCCAGTGGTCATCCCTCCAGGAGCCCTGGAGAGGCTGCTATTATGAATGAGGAGGAAGAGGAGGACACAGGGCTTAGTGGGAGCCGGGGAGGGTGGTGCTTGCCTCCTGGAGAACTAGAAGAATGGACTACCTGGGGCCCAACTATCGGGCTGGGGCAGGGCTGCTGACCATTGCTGCTGCTTTTGCTGTGTGACCTCAGACAAGTCCCTTTCCCTCTCTGGCCGCCTCTGATTCCTCTCCTGCCTTAAGGAAGGTTCATCTACACCCTTTTTTTATCTAACAAGCCTAGAGCATGCTGTCCATGGAGACAGAGGCTGAGGTCTGTCTTGGTTACTATGGGGGCCTCAGAGCCCAGTGTGTGTAGTAGGTGTGCTGTGGAAACAGACACACCTGGATTGGAGAATTCTCAGTAGTAACAGTCATGCCCAGAAGCCTCTCATTGTGGGCCAGGCCTTGTTCTGAGCACTTTATACCGTTTACTCTTCACCCATGAGGGAGATGCTGTAATTTATCATTCACAGATGGGGAAACTGAGGCATGGAGCCGTTAACTGACTTGCCCAAGGTCTAAGAGGTTACAGCTGGGATTTGAACCCCGCGGTTCTGGCCCCGTGCTATTGACCACTCCATGGGGCTCCCTAAAGCTTTATTAGCCACCTACTGGGCCATAGCAATAAGCACAGAACAGGAGTGGGGCCAGGGGAGGAGTCTGCGAGCTTCTGGGAGGAGGGGATCTTGGGAGTGATCCCACCACCTGAGCTCCCTGAATCCCTGTCCCGGCAGGTGCATCCCAGCCCCGGGCCCCAGGCACCCCTGCAGGCCGCGTCCGCCCAGAACTCAAGAACAAGCAGCAGATCCTGAAGCAGCGGCGTCGGGCCCAGAAGCTGCGCTTCCTGCAGCGAGGTGGCCTCAAGCAGCTCTCTGCTCGAAACCGCCGTCGTGCCCAGGAGCTGCAGCAGGGTGCCTTCGGCCGGGGTGCCCGCTCCAAGAAGGGCAAGATGCGGAAGAGGATGTAAGGACCAGGACCAAGCCCCGTGGTTCCTTGGTCGGCCTTAGAGTGGACGTCAGCAGACGTTCCTGTGCACCATTGTGTGCCTGGCCTTGTGCCGGGCACTGGGGACACTCCCTGCAGGAGCCATCATCCGTGAAAAGGAGCGCTGTATGGCCACAGAAGGGCAGCAGCTGCGTCAGCCTAAGACAGAGACATTTGAGCAGGGCCTTGAAGGGTGTGTAGGAGTTCGCCAGCAAAACCAGGCACGCCAGGACCTGAGTTGGCAGCTCAGCTGCTGCTGCTTCCATGTGTTCTGGCTTCAGAGGTCATGGCTGCACCGGTCAGAGCCCTGAGTGCCTCAGGGTTTGGTGATGGCATTTTTAGTATAATAAATCTTTATTGAGCACTGCTGGTGGGCCAGAGTGTGGTCTACTTGGGGAGTTGGAATGGAAAGACCCGGGTACTAAAATCCCAACTAACGTGGCAGAGGAGTTGAGAGCATATCCAGGGTCTCCCAAGGCGGGGTTCTGTAGCTATGTCCATTTAGCAATGAGGAAAGTGAGGCTCAGAGCACAAGCCAGGTGCCAGAGGTGGGAGTTGGTCCCCCTTCCTCCCACCTGCTTCCTTGCAGCTGGAGTGGGCTGAGGGAGGGGAACAGGATGCACAGCCTGGGGGCAAGGGCATGCTGCTCTCCTCTGGCTATGAAGAGGTTAACGTAGGCCCTCCACACCTGGAGGTCAGAACCTGGCCTGCCCTCTCACCTCCCACCCCATTCAAGGTTCTGAGAAGGTCAAGGGCGGCCCCAGCTGCTGGATTCTCAGGCTGGGCCCCTCAGCTGGCAGAGTCCACAATGGAGAGGCCTTGGTGAGCTCTTATCTAGCATGGACCCTGTTCTGATACCTGACAGAGATTTTTTCATGCCCCAACCACCCTGGGAGGGAGGGCCTGGTCTGGTCTCATTTTAGAGGCAATTGCCCCACACATAGCCCCTTGACCGTCCCATCACCTCCTCATCAGGGCCTGCATTTATTGAGTGCTTGCTGTGTGGACCTGCATTTATTGAGTGCTTGTTATGTGCCTCTCATGGCAGGCCCACAGCACTCCCATCTTCCCAATGAGGAAACTGATTCAGGAAGAGCCACTCCTTCGGAAATGCGGGGTCCTCCTATCCTGGGGTCTCTTGGGGCTCCCCTCTCCCACTGCTCACCTGGGTCAGGGCTAGGAGGCAGGGGCTGCAGGCTCAGTCTGACACAGGCCTGCCAGCATGGCGGAGAGGTCTTGCATGAACAGCTTCACCTGGGGGACCCCAACATGAAGTCACATTCCAGCCCAAGAGCCCTAACCCTCAACATATGGGGAGGCTGAAACATGTCCAGCCCCTAACCCTCAACATGTGGGGAGGCCGAAAGGCAGGGTGGGGACTGGAGTCCCCCTCACTGAAAGAACAGTAATGATGGTGGTTCCCAGAGGCAGTGACAGATCCGAAACCGTCCTGAGTTTTAAAAGCTTCAGGCCAGCCTTCCCAATTGCCACATGAGCAGACACCTCAGCTTCCTAGCTGCTGTCACCTGCACCATCCAATTAGTGTTTTTATTTACATCCGTCAGCTTCATCTTATTTTAACTGCATCAGTCTTATTCATTGGTCTGTGACTTACTCTCATCTCCATGGGTGGCCCTCCTTTATTTTGTTTTAATTCTTTATGGATATCCACTTAATAAATGCCACTGATCCACTGTGAAAACTAGAACTTGAGGTTGAACGTACAGCTGTCTGTGGGCTCCCCCTCATATTCATCACCCTATCAACAGAAGGAAACTGTTTCTCCACCAAAAATGGAAAGAAATAGTTACCCCTCGTCATAACTAGGGGGTACTCGAAAAATAATGAAAATGCAATGGACAAATGAAGCTGTTACTGAATTCCGGCAGAACAGTGTGAGTCCCAGCCTGGAGGCCGGGGAGTGTCAGGGAGGTGGGAAAAAGCACAGCGTCCCTCCAGGGAGCCTTTCTCCTTGACAGGGGCAGAGTTGATTTTGAAAAGATGCTCTGGTCCTAGTGCAGTGGTGTTTACCACTAATTAATTACAACCAGTTACTGATTGTGTTCCTTCTTAATGTCCAGTTACTTCAGTTGTACTAAAAGAAAAGGGACTGGCCAGGCGCAGTGGCTCACACCTGTAATCCCAGCATTTTGGGAGGCCGAGGCGAGCAGATCACGAGGTCAGGAGATAGCGTCCATCCTGGCTAACACAGTGAAACTCTGTCTCTACTAAAAATACAAAAAAATTAGATGTGTGTGGAGGCGTGCACCTGTAAAGTCCCAGCTACTCAGGAGGCTGAGGCAGGAGAACACTTGAACCTGGGAGGTGGAGGTTGCTGTAAGCCGAAATGGTGCCACTGCACTCCAGCCTGGGTGACAGAGCGAGACTCCATCTCAAAAAAAAAAAAAAAAAGAAAGAAAAGGGACTGACTTGCCTGATTACATGGAGCCTGTGTTTTTGCTAGTCTCTTGTGCCAGAAGGTAGCCAGATAACCAGCCAGGCTGGGAAAAACAGTGGCATCAATGTATCCAACCAGCTGGGAGGGGCGAAGAAGATTCCCAAGGACCCAGGTCTTGGCATTTGGCTGGAATCCCGGCCATTGGGCAGGACAGGAGTGGGGATGTGGGGGAAAAGGCAGGGTGCCTCCCTTTACTTTGCCTCCACTTCTCAAAGCGCCTGGGCCATGCGCTGGGTATACTCACTAGAAACATAACAGAAGTGTTTGAAGTCTGAAATCTCTCTCTTGTAAACCTATGTCACGCCAGGTGCGATGGCTCATGCCTGTAATCCTAGCACTTTGGAAAAGCTGAGGTGGGAGGATCACTTGAGGTCGGGAGTTCAAGACCAGCCTGGCCAACATGGTGAAACCCCATCTCTACTAAAAATACAAAATTAGCCAGGTAATAAATGTAATAATAAAGTAATCTGGCCAGCCCGAGACAGGCTGCCCCCTCATCCTATCCTTTTTTTTTTTTTTTTTGAGATGGAGTCTCACTCTGTTGCCCAGACTGGAGTCCAGTAGTGTGATGTCAGTTCACTGCAAAGGTGGTGTGTGCCTGTAATCCCAACTACTCAAGAGGCTGAGGCAGGAGAATCACTTGAACCTGGGAGGCAGAGGTTGCAGTGAGCGGAGATTGTGTCACTGCACTCCATCCTGGGTGACAGAGCTAGACTCCGTCTCAAAAACAACTCTATGTCATATTCTGTACTGCACAAATCAGCCTCACCCACCCTCACCCTCCCTGGGGAAGCTGAGGCTTCTCTGCACAGGGAGGAGGGAGCCAGAAGGCCAGAGATTAATGAGTGAGTCTGGACCTCCTGGTTTTTTCAGGTGTTGCTACATGTGCGGGCTGTTGGATCCTGGGAGAAAAGAGGGAGTCGGTACAAACCCTGGTAGAGGAAGCACACTGAGACGCAGGGAAGGGCGTGGCTTTCTTCTGGCCACACAGCCAATCACTGTCAGAGCAAAGATGCACCCAGGAATCCATCCTAGGCTGGGTGCCTGTGCAGCCATCCAGCCCACGGCTGGGGCAAGGACTCTGACCTCTTAGAGGGCCATGCTTAACCCAGAAAAGGTGTCACTAACTGTGGGGTTTTAGGTACCTGATTTTTCCAAAAAGGGATAGCTTGAGGGCTGGAGGTGCCATAAAGAGGGGGCCTTACCTGCTCTAACTGCCCCTCTGTGTCCTCAGTGTCCAGTGCAGGCGGCTGCCCCTGATGCTGGCACACTAGCTGGAACAGGTTGAGCACGGCCATCCTGCTGCGCCCCAGGAGCAGAGTCTTCTCCGCTGCTGTGTTCTGAATCTGAATCCACTTGGATTCCTGGAGAACACCCACCCGGATCCCAATTAAGACATCTGGCCGGCCCGAGGCAGGCTGCCCCCTCATCCTATCCATTTTTTTTTTTTGACAGAGTCTCCCTCTGTTGCCCAGATTGAAGTCCAGTGGTGTGATATCAGTTCACTGCAACATCTGCCTCCTGGGACCTAGCTATTCTCCTGCCTCAGTCTCCCGAGTAGATGGGACTACAGATTCACGCCACCACGCCTGGCTAATTTTTGGTAGAGAGGAGGTTTCACCATGTTGGCCAGGCTGGTCTCAAACTCCTGACCTGAGGTGATCTGCCCACCTTTGTGCTGGGATGACAGGCGTGAGCCACCTCCAAAGTGCTGGGATGACAGGCGTGAGCCACCACGCCCAGCATTCTTCCCATCCACCTTAACCAGTCAGGCACAGTCAGATGCTCTCGGGAGAGGGGTGCCGGAGCCTGGTGCCAACAGATAGGACGGGGCCTCATGCCCAAAAAACGATGCCTGAGATCCCCTCCTTAGCGCAGCGGGCCTCTAGGTAAGTATTGCCCCGTCGATCCTCATCAGCCCTGGCGCTCCTCCCCGCCCGGCAGTGGAAGAAGCCTGGGGTCGGCCGTACCCACTGCAGCGTGCGCTCCCGGGCAGCCTCCAGGCGCTCCTGCAGCTGCTTCCGCCGCTGGCCCTGTGCGAGCAGCTCCTCCGGCCAGGTGTCCCGCAGCCGCTGCAGCCGCGCCCGCACCGCCTCCTGCTGGGCGAGCCGCTGGCGCTCCCTGAGCCTCAGCGCTGCCTGTGTCTCGACCAGGCAGTCGAAACGCGCCACCAGCTCCGGGACATCTTGGAACTAGAGTGGGGGCGGGGAAGGGACTCACATGGGCCTGCGGTCCCTTACCCTCTCCATCCCACCTGGCCGCTGGCGCTTGTTATTATTGGAATAATCTTTCTGGAAAGTGACTTGGCAGTTGGTAAATGTCAACCTCCACTTGTGAGAGACAAGGTCCGGCGCTGTCACTTGGGCTGGAGTGCAGTGGCGCGAACATAGCTCGCTGTCATCTCCAACTCCTGGACTCAAGCTACCTTCCCACTTCCACTCCAGAGTAGCTGGGATTATAGCCGCAGGCCACCAAACCCGGTTAATTTTTTGTAGAGATGTGGCGGGAGCAGGGAGCGGGGGGGTCTCTCTACGTTTTCCAGGCTGGTCTCAAACTCCTGGCCTCAAGAAATCCTCCCGCCTTGGCCTCCCAAAGTGTTGGGATTACAGGCGTGAGCCACTGTGCCCGGCCAGGGTTAGCTTTCTGAATCTTCAGTTTTCCTATCTGTAAAATGGGATTGACAGTTGACAATAACAGGACTCCCTTCACTGGACTTTGGGGAGGATTCAAGAACAAAACGTGGGCGGTGACTCACGCACGTAATCGCAGCACTTTGGAAGTCCAGGCGGGAGGATTGCTTGAGCCGGGGAGTTCGAAACCAGCCTGGGCAACATAGTGAGACCCCTTCTCTGTTAAAAACAGTAATTTAAAAAATAGCCAGGCGTGGTGGCATGCGCCTGCGGTCCCAGTTACTTGGGAGGCAGAGCCAGGAGGATCCCTTGAGCCCAGGAAGTCAAGGCTGCAGTGAGCCACGATCGCGCCAATAACAGAGCAAGACACAGTCTCAACCCACTCCCCAAAAAATCTAACAGCAACAAAAACCAAAGCGTATCCCTGGCGCACAGTGAACGCTCCATAAGTGATAGTTCCTGGCATGCAGTTAGCGCTCCAGTAGTTCACCGGTCCGAAGCCGTCCCTGAGCCACGCAGCGCTGCGCGGTGGCGCGGAGCTCCCAGCCTCCTGCCCCGCGCTCACCCCGGGCAGCAGCTCCAGCGCTTGCTCCAGCAGGCGCGCGCAGGGCTCCAGGCGCTGCAGTCTGCGCTGCAGCCGCGCGTGCTCCCGCCGTAGCTCCTCGAGCTGGGCCCGCAGCCGTAGCGCCTCCGCCTCCCGGCGGCCCGCCTGGTTTAGCTCCTCCGCCGCCCTCAGCAGCGCGCGATTGCGCCGGGCCTCGGAGTCCTGGGGAGTAAGGTGGGGAGCAGGCGACCTTCATTCAGGTCTCGGGAGCTGGCGGGGAGTTCGCCACCTCCGCCCTGCCCCGACTTTCGCACGCAAAACCTGGGCGGCCAGCAGGCCCGGCAAAGAAGTCGGCTCTTCACCCCCACGCCCCTGCATTTTTTTTTTTTTGTTTTAACTTGGCAGCTTCAGGCAGTGCGTGTGTGTTTCCCGCTGTTCCCTTTTGCATGACTAAACCCACTTCTTTTCTTTTTGTTACCTGCGGGGCCCCTATGTGGGAGTGAGCTGCGACCCATAGGCCCCGCCTCCCCGCCCCCAGCAGTCTCCACATACCTGGAAAAACTTGTCAAAGCTGAAGAACGATCCCTTTAGCTCCCGCTCCTTCTGTTCCAGCTGTTCCCAGCGCTGTTTCAGGGCTGCCATCTTGGTGTGGTACACCTGGGGGTGAGGAGTGGGGTGTCTGTGTGGGTTTGGGGTCCGGGTCCTCCCTGCTCAGCCCATCCGCTCCCTGCTCAGCCCATCCGCGGCTCCCATCACCCAGAGGTGAAGCCCAGACACCCTGCTCCAGCCCCCGAATGCATGTCCCTGCTCTTCCCTCAGGCCTCATGGTACCCTCTCTCCTCCCGTACTCTGTCTTCCAGCCACTCAACTACCTGTTTGGTTCTTGCCTTCCAGTCTTTGTGTATGGTTTTCCTCTGGCTGTTTTTCCTTCCTCATCCCATTCCCCTTTGCTGGATAAGCCAACTTGCCCTTCAGCAATCTCCAAGACATGACTTCCTCCAGGAAGCCCTCCATGACCACCTCCATGGGGAGGCAGGGGCTTCTTATGGGCTCCCACAGCTCCTGCCCAGTGTTTCTCCCCTGTAGCAGTCACCACCCAAACACTCATCTGCTTTCCTCTCTAGACTGTGAGCCCCACAAGGGCAGGAACCATGGTGAGACCTGCAGGTCTCAACGTAGTGCCCAGCACATAGTCGGTGCTCAATGCACACAAATTTATCTGCACCAACAACTGGTCTCATTTGGTCCCCATTTGACAGATGAGGAAACCAAGGCTTGGAGTGGTGAAACGACTTGTCTCAGACCCTGTAACTAATAACTTGGCTACATCACTTCCCATCCGCTGGCTCACCACCTGGTTACAGTAGTGGGGCTCACCTGCTTCTGGGCCTGCAGGGCCTGGTCTGCATCTGCCAGCTCTTGCCTCTTCTCCAGGAGACGTAGCACTGGTGGGAAGTAATGCTCAGCCTGCTCTGGCAGCTTTCTGAAGAGATTCAAGGAGGAGGTGAGGGTGAAGGAAGCACGTGCTGGGGCCCCACATCTCAGCACGGTGTCTGGAGTGCCCATTAGCCACCCACTGGCTGGTTAATTTTTTTGTTGTTGTTGTTTAGATTTGTTTTTTGGGTCTTGCTTTGTCACCCAGGCTGGAGTGCAGTGGTGTGATAGCTCCCTCCTGGGCTCAAGCAATCCTCCCATCTTGTCTCCTGAGTAGCTAGGACTGCAGGCGTGTGCCACCACACCCGGCTAATTTTTATTTTGTAAAGATGAGGTCTTGATTTATTGCCCAGGCTGGTCTTGAACTTGTGGACTCAAGCAATCCTCCTGCCTCAGCCTCCCAGTATTGGGATTACAGGTGTAAGCCACCACATCTGGTTAAATTATTATTATTTATTATTTATTATTTTTTTTTTTGAGATGGAGTCTCACTCTGTCATCCAGGCTGGAGTGCAATGGTGCGATCTTGGCTCACTGCAACCTCCACCTTCCAGGTTCAAGTGATTATCCTGCCTCAGACTTCCAAGTAGCTGGGATTACAGGTGTGCGCCACCATGCCTGGCTAATTTTTGTATTTTTAGTAGAGACGGGTTTTCACGATGTTGTCCAGGCTTGTCTTGAACTCCTGACCTCAAGTGATCCTCCCACCTTGGCCTCCCAAAGTGCTAGGAGTACAGGTGTGAGCCACCACACCCGGCTGAATTCTTTATTCATTCAGCAAATTGTCCTGAGCACCTACTCTGGGCCAGGCACCCTTCTAGGCACTAGGGGTGCAGCTGGGAACAGGACAGATAAAAATCCCTGTTCTCTCATAAGCTGGCATTCTGCTGGGAGCCACAGAAAATCAACCTAATAAATAATAATAAAGAATGCCAGGACATAGTAGCCACTGAGATGAAAAATTCAACAGACTAACGGAATCTTTCAACAGGAAGGAGGTGGCATCTGAGCAGGACCTGGAGGAGAAGAGGGATGAAGCCACGTGGACATCTCCAGAAAACAGATTCTAGGATCCTTGTGTGGCCAGGGTGGCTGGAGAGGAGGGAGGGAGGAGGAAAGAGATGGGAATTGGGAGCAGGGAGGTGCTGAGAATCCAACTGAGGTGGGCCATGGTGAGGAGGGACTTTGGCCTTGACTCTGAGTAAAGTGGGAGTGGAGGAGGGTTTTGGGCAGAGGAGGGGTCCTTCTGGCTGCAGGAGACCCGTGGTGGGGCCAGGGATATTCCGGAGGTAGTGCAGTTCTTCTGAGCATGACAGTAGTGGAGGGAGGCGAAAGCAGAGCTGATGGAGTGGGGTTGGGGGTGAGAAAGGGGTCAGAGGTGATCCCAGCAGCCGGAAGGATGTTACTGGGAGGGCAGGTCAGGTCAGGGAGACCAGCTCCCTGCTATGGCCAAGCCCGAGATGCCCGAGGTCTCTGCAGGGAGAGGCCCAGGAGGTGGTGGGGTTCTGGAGTCCAGCGCCACGGGGAGAAAGGGAGAGCAGAAGGAATGACTAACGTGTAATTTGCAAGGCTTTCCTGGCCATAGGCCAGGAGAACCTCCCCTCCCCATTTTATAGCTGCTGAGATGGGGTTGGGACTTGAGGCCACGCTGCTGAAAGCAAAGGAGACACAGAACAAGCTTCCTCTGTTCCTCCTTAAAATGCAGGTTCGGGGGTGGATTGGGGAGCAGGATTTCATAGAATAACTCCTTCCCACCTCGGTTTGAATGATTTAATCTCAGCCAGATGTCAGCTTGCATGAGGGATCAGGAACAAACCCTGAGACCATGGTGATGTCTCAGTTTCTCCCTGAGCCTCAGTTTACTCTTCTGTGAAGTGTGGACAATAACCTCCGGTATCATCTGCCCAAGGAAGGCAGACCCCGGAGGTGAGGAAGAAGAGGTGGGGCCGCCCACCCGTTCCTGCCCTCCTTCTAGCCCTCCCCGCCTCTAAGTCCCACTCACGTAGACAGGTTCTCTTGCAAGGCCAGTCGGAAATATTCCTCCCAGGGTACCGCCATCCTCCTGGCAGTTGCCCCAGCTTTCTTTCCACCAGCTGGAGTTTTGCACAAGTCTAAGAGAGCCTGGGGGTTCTGTGGAGCGTGGTGTGGAAGCCCGCTTTGCTCTCCCAGAAGGCAGCCGCCCAGCAGGCTCTGGTTGCCCGGCAACCAAGAACACAACATTCCACTGCGTGGCTGCAGCCTCGGAATCCACCCTGGGAGGGAGAGGGAAGGGGCTGCAAGGAGAGGAGCAGCCTCTGCCCCTCCTGGAGAGGCCTGTAACACCCCATCAAATGGGGGTGCAGTGGAGAGAATGGGGGTCCTTTGGCCAAGAAATTGCCTTTCTTAGTGTCCCACGTTTGGCCAAGCCTCTTCCTAGTTGGCTGGGATATGGCCTCACTAACCGGGCCACAGTTGTGTGTACTCAGGCTATGGCTCCAAAGAATAATTACTGGGCACACACTGCTAGCCAGACCCTAGGTGGAGTCATTCACCGCAGCTCTTTGAAGCACCACTCCCTGTCCTGGTGATGGGGCTCCTCTGGCTATTTCTCAGGGAGCCCCCCAGCCTGGTTAGGGAGACAAAGGGAGACCATCAGGACCTCCCAGTGGAAATCAGCTTGGAAGGGATGGTCTAGACTTGGGGAATGGGGGCACAGGGTAGGGGAGAAGCTGAGATAGTTTGGGCATTTATTTATTTATTTCACATGGAGTCTTGCTCTGCCACCCAGGCTGGAGTGCAGTGGCTCAATCTCGGCTTACTGCAACCTCTACCTCCCAGGTTCAAGCAATTCTCATGCCTCAGCCTCCTGAGTAGCTGAGAAACCCTGTCTCTACTAAAAATACAAAAGTTAGCCACCATGCCGAGCTAATTTTTGTATTTTTAGTAGAGACAGGGTTTTGCCGTGTTGGCCACGCTGGTCTCAAATTCCTGACTTCAAGTGATCCACCTGCCTTGGCCTCCCAAAGTGCTGGCATTACAGGCGCGAGCCACTGCGTCCGGCCAGTAGTCTGGGCTTTCCTGTGAGTTGGATGCTATGCGCAGCACTCTATAGTATCTAAATTAATCCCTAAGACAGCCCTGTGGGGGGAGGGTGGTACTACAGAAAAGTACTCAGAGTAGTATAAAAAGTACCCTTGGGTTCTTCAACTGGAAGCAGCAAACACTGGCGTCTTGTCCTCCCTGGTTCTGGTCATTTTCTTTTCCATTTTAAATAATTTATTTTCCATTCAAAGAAATGTATTTTCTTAATGTAGAGCAATGCTGTTTCGAAACCTGTAGTCCCTTGTAATGCCCATTGCTTAAAATGCTCCTAAGGATTTTGTTAGAGCATGTTTTAAAAACTGAGTGAGGGCGGGGTGTGGTGGCTGATGCCTGTAATCTCAGCACTCCAGGAGGACTGGAAATGGCCATTGGCCATTGGTGGGAGGATTGCTTGTGCCCAGGAGTTCCAGCCCAGCCTGGGTGACATAGAGAAACCCCAGCTCTACAAAAAATAATAAGATTAGCCAGGGGTAGTGACATGTGTCTATAGTTCCAGCTACTCGGGAAGCTGAGGCAGGAGGATTGCTAGAGCCCAGGAGGTTGAGGTTGCAGTGAGCTATGATCACTCCACTGCACCCCAGCCTGGGCAACAGAGCAAGAGTCTGTCTCAATAAATAAATATTTAAGAAATTTAAAAGAATGAAAATAATGCACATTTTATCTTTGAGCATTTTTTAAATTAAATTGCACATGCTATCTTTCTGCACAAATAGATGTGAAGTTATGATAAGTTGTAGGATCTCATTTTTTCTTTCTTTCTTTCTTTTTTTTTTTTGAGACAGAGTCTCACTCTGTCACTCAGGCTGGAGTGCAGTGGCTCAATCTCGGGTCACTACAACCTCCGCTTCCCGGGTTCAAGAGAGTCTCCTGCCTCAGCCTCCAGAATAGCTGGGATTACAGGCATTTGCCACCACACCTGGCTAGATTTTTGTATTTCTAGTAGATACGGGGTTTCACCATCTTGGCCAGGCTGTTCTCGAACTCCTGGCTTCAGGAGACCTGGCCTCCTCGGCCTCCCAAAGTGCAGGGATTACAGGTATGAGCCACCGCTCCTGGCCTCCTTTAAAAAAAAAAATTAAAAATATAAAGGTATCTTTTACAAAAAGTAAAATCGCTTTTTCCATATACAGTCCTATGGGTTTTGGCAAATGCATAAAGTCATGTAATCACCACCACAATCAATATACAGAACATTTCCATCACCCTAAAAAGCCCTTGTGCTCCTTTATAGTCAACCCTTACCAGCACCTCAGCCTCTGGCAACTTCCACATGTTCTCTATCCTTCGAGGTTTACCTTTTGCAGGATATTGTACATGTAATTACGGTATATCCTTTGTAGCCCTTTGAGTCTACCTTCTTTCACTTAGTAAGAGCCATTGACATTTATTCATATTAATATGTGTATCAGTAGCTCATTCTTTTTCATTCGTGGGTACATTATATTATGAATATTATAGTTTGCTGATTCATTCTCCAGATGAAAGGCAGGCAGGTTGCTTCCAGTTTTGGGCACTTGCAAATACAGGCTGTATTCATGTACAGGTTTTTATGCCAACATAAGTTTTTATTTTACTTGTCTTAATATGTGTGAGTGGTATTGCTGTGTCATATGGTAAGTGTGTATTTAACTGTATAACAAACTGCAGACTGGTTTTCAAGGTGGCTGTACTATTTTTATATTCACACTAGCAATGTAAAAGAGTTCTAGTTGCTCCATATCCTCACCAGCAGCTGGTATTGTCGGTTTTTTAAAAAGTCATTTTATGGTTGGGTGTGGTGGCTCATGCTAGAATCCCAGCACTTTGGGAGGCTGAGGCAGGTGGATCACCTGAGGTCAGGAGTTCAAGACCAGCCTGGGCAGCATGGTAAAACCCCATCTCTACTAAAAGTACAAAAATTAGCTGGGTGTGGGGGCATGCACCTATAATCCCAACTACTCAGTAAGCTGAGGCAGGAGAATCACTTGAATCTGGAAGGCAGATGTTGCAGTGAGCCAAGATCGAGCCACTGCAGTCCAGCCTGCCTGATGAGTGAGACTTTGTCTCCAAAAAAAAAAAAAAAAAATCATTTTAATAGTTGCATTGTAGTATAGGTTATGGTTAAAAAAAATTTCTTTTTTTTTGAGACAAGGTCTGGCTCTACCACAAGGCTGGAGTGCAGTGGCACGATCTTGGCTCACTGCAACCTCTACCTTCCAGACTCAAGCCATCCTCCCACCTCAGCCTCCCAAGAAGCTGGGACCTCTGGCACGTGCCACCGTGACCAGCTAATTTTTGTATATTTTGTAGGTGGGGTTTCACCATGTTGCCCAGGCTGGTCTTGAACTTGTGTGCTCAAGTGATCTGCCTGCTTCTGCCTCCCAACGTGCTGAGATTACAGGCATTAGCCACCACATCCGGCCTAGGTTACATTTTAATTTTTGAGATAACTGTAGATTTACATGTAGTTTAAGGACCGGTACAGAGAGATCCCGTATCCCTTCCACCCAGTTTCCCCCAGTGGTAAGATCTTGTGTAACTACAGTATGATATCACAATCAGAAAGTTGGCATTGATACAACCCACTGACCTCATTCAGATTTCACCATTCTCACATGCATTCATGGGCATGTGTGTGTATATTTAGTTTTATGCAACCTTGCCACAGGTATATTTATGTGACCACCACTATAGTCAAAATACAGAACAGTTCATCACAAAGATCACTAGAGGTGTCCCTGTTTCGTGCCTTCTCCCCTCCCTAAGCCCTGGCAACCATTCCTCTGTTCTCCATCTGTCTAATCTTGGCATGTCAAGGATGTCAGAGAAATAGAATTGGCCAGCCACTGTGGCCACGCCTGTAATTCCAACACTTTGAGGGGTGGAGGTGGGAAGATCGCTTGAGTCCAGGAGTTTCACCAGCCTGGGCAACATGATGAAACCCTGTGTCTACAAAAAATACAAAAATTATCCAGGTGTGGCATGTGCCTGTAGTCTCAGCTACTTGGGAGGCTGAAGCAGGAGGATCACTTGATCCTGGGAGGCAGAGGCTGCAGTGAGCCATGATAGCGTCACTGCACTCCAGCCTCAGTGACAGAGCAAGACCCTGCCTCAAAAGCAAGGAAGTGGAGGGGAGGGGAGGGAAGGTAAGGGAAAGGCAGGAAAGGAAGAAAAGGAGAGAGAAAGGGAATCATTCAGTATGTAACCTTCTGAGATTGGCTTTTTTCACGCCCCATGATTCTCTTGAGATCCATCCTGGTTGGTGCGTCTATAGATAGTTCCTTTGGATTGTGGAGTAGCATGCCATGGTACAGGTGTACTGCAGCTTGTTTCACCATTCAGGCTGAAGGACATTTGGGTTGTTTCCAGTTTTTAAGAATAAAGCTATTAAGAGTAAAGCTGGGTTAGGTGCAGTAGCTCATGCCTGTAATCTCAGCACTTTGGGAGGCTGAAGCAGGAGGACCTCTTGAACCCAAGAGTTCAAGTCCAGCCTGGACAACATAGAGAGACCCTGTCTCCACACACACACACACACAGCTGGGTTTGGTGGCAGAGGCCTGTGGTCCTAGCTGCTTGGGAGGCTGAGGCTGGAGCCCGTGAGGTCAAGGCTGCAGGAAGCTGTGATCATATCGCTGCACTGCAGCCTAGGCGACAGAGCGAGACCCTGCCTTTAAAATATATGCATACATATATAACAGTATATCAATATAAATAAATTATATATATAATGATGCCACAAAGATTCATGTGCTATTTTCTGTGGGAACCTACACCTTCATTTCTTTGGGATAAATGGCCAAGAGTGCAATTGTTGGACTTTATGGTAAGTGACATTTCTTTATAGAAACTGTCAGCTGGGCACAGTGGCTTATGCCAGTAATCCCAGCACTTGGGGAGGTGGAGGCGGGCAGATCACCTGAGGTCAGGAGTTCGAGACCAGCCTGGCTAACATGGTGAAACTCCATCTCTACTAAAAATACAAAAATTAGCCTGGTGTGGTGGTGCACATCTGTAGTCCCAGCTACTCTACTTGGGAGACAGAGGCAGGAGAATTGCTTGAACCCAGGAGGCAGAGGTTGCAGTGAGCTGCACTCCAGCCTGAGTGACAGAGAGAGACTCAGTCTCAAAAAACAAA